GGGACATCGCAAGGTACGTAGTAGCTGGCGCTCCAGGTGATGGCGGTGAGGGGGGGTTATCATTAGAAGCCATGGCCGGAGGCTGGACGGTGCGGCCATTGCGAAGCTTCGTGGTGATGACGGGGTACGTCTTTTCCTAGAATCTCAATTTGCATGCATGTAGCATAATCCCCGGCGGCAGAAGCGCCGTCTCGGCGCATCTAAATGTCAACGTCATTAGGAGAGTGGTAGGGCTTCAAGCGCGCAACATGTACAATATCAGTAGCCTGTTGGACAATTGAATGCGATGGGGCGACAGGACCAATTTCATATGTCACAGGAGTAACCACACGAAGGACTCGGTATGAGCCTGTGTAGCGAGTAAGCAGTTTTTCTGACAACGTGACGTGGGTTTGGCATGTTATACCCAACAGTTTTTTTTTAGTTACTTCTGAAATATAGCTTTTTGCTAAACATACGTATTCGTACCTTTCACATGCAAAGTGGTGTGAATGTGTTTTTTGTTGTATACAGACCACCACTATGTGATGCAACTTGCTTTCCTTCAGGAGCCTCTCCGTCATGCAACGTGGACAAATGAAATTTTTTACTAAGAGGTGACATGTGTATAAGTGCGTATTCATTTTTGCCTTTAATTTTAGCTTGTGGTCTTTCAAATACATCTGCATCGACAAAAAGATGGCTAAAGCGACTCGTTGGCGATTCAAGGCAAAAAAGCTATTTCTGATAGCGCAGCAAGACAATTTTCCATAACATAAAGATCGATTGATTTACTAATACTATCAACAAATTTTGCGAACTTGGATTTTATTGAACCATAAGTGCATATTGAATACAATGATGTACTCGCTTGCAAGCGGCGAGGTATATTGCACCTGAATTACCCTGACTGCATATGGATTTTTATCTTAAAGCTGTTGTAGTTCCGCAGCATTAGGAATAAGGCATGACTCTTGTAAGCTTATTCTTAAAAAAAAAAAAGCATCTTAAATTAATGCAAGGATTGTAAATATACTTCAGAGCTGCCATGTATGTTCATGTATCCTGTCACTACTTCTGAATTGAATACCAAGTCTTTGGACTTCCCAGTTCTTTCATTCACTCAGTTTAAATATAATGTTCAAAATAATCTACAGTAATCAAGACTGTGTACAGCTCTGGCATGTTCGGCCACTGGCTGGCAAGCATGAAAGTGCACCGCACAGGTAGTGACAATGCCTAGTCTACAAAAATAGGGAAATACTGAATTTATCTGTGAAGTTGGGTTGCGTAGAGCGAAAGCGACAGTTTTCATTCTTAAAACCTTACACAATACATTTTGCTCTATAAAATCTTGAGCCTTCAACAGGAGCAATATTATTTTGGACAACTGTGTAAAATAGCAGCCCTTCTTAGAAGAACCAAAGCGTTCTACGATAACAACATGCATGTCACCTACATGCACGTTCACGCAATGCTACGAGTAGAAACCTTTTAGATGGTGTGGCCATGAAAGCAAAGGCGAGCAGCTCATGGTGAAACACGACCTCGTGATGTGCGATTACATAACACGTGTATATGCGAGAAATCTCCAGTGAAGCGGCCGCGAAGGCTCACGGCATTGCACTCAAGATGTTGAAAATGCCAGCCTTCATGTTTTCGAGAGTTCTGTATGCTAACTGCGCATGCTAAACAAAATTTTCACAGACATATTACAACCGCAGACTAGCAAGTGAGCGAGTCTGCGGACATGGCGGTCCACCAAACTTAGCGGCAACTGTGGATGGCAACTAGGTTGCTCACCAAATCTGGCGGCTACTAGCGGCTGCACTGTTGAAGATGTTACCACCCTTAAGGGACACTGAAGCACAAATTTCTGGCCGAGATAGCCTGTGGGGGTCGATTTCCGTGAACATTCGTATATCATCTGCAAAATATCAACAGCTAATATAGCTTGGAAGGTATTTTCATTTAATTTTGAAATTCGTGCGAGCTCTCGACTCCATCGTGCCATTCAAACTCTCGAAGGGGACTCTTTGGGGACCCCCTACTTCCTCCCGTCGTCACGCTACAGTCAATAAAACAAGTTATGATGACGACATCATAGCCGCCATTTTTCTTTTGCCACATTTGTCCCCGCAGTCTATTGGCTTGGTGTGCGACCGATGATGGTGTGTGACTGATGATGCCACTGCAAACCGCGCTTGTATCACATCAGTTCCAAGAATTTGTGTGCTTTCGAGGCGCCGTATAGAAACCACCATCATGGTAAAATAAAACTTCGTTAAAAACGTAGTTCAATTAGTTATCTCATGATCTGCGTGTGGTAGCTACTGAAGCTGTCCTAACAACCGCGGGTGTCCGCTTTCAACGCTCATTTTAAAAGCACAGCGCTTTGTTTCTTAAAACTGTGGCCGCTTGTCTCCGCGGCGAGTGCTGCGCAATAGCAGAGTACTACACTATGCCTCTATTTGATCACCCACTCGTGAAAAGGGCGTTAGCTTTCACAACTATCCGAGGGACTCGAAGCTGAGAAAGAACTGGATAGTCAAACTCGGAGAGGGAAGCAGTGCCTGACGCCTTCATCGACCATGTGCAGCAAGAACTTCGCTGACAATGACTTTTGCTACCTGCCCTACGCTCCAGCTTTCGGTAAGCTTTCAATCGTGTTTCAGCGCCTCGCCAGTACTTCAGCCATTCATTGCACGCAGGCTACAGGCATGCGACTTACAGCAGATGAGCTGCCGTCCCAAAACATACCGTGAAGGCATCTAGACAGAGAGCCGACGACGTGGCCTCTGAATCACCTCAAGTAAGTGCAGCTCATGAGCGCAGCTGAGCAGCGCACAACATCTGATGCTACAGCATTATTGGGTTGGTGTACTTACTGTACTTATATACTTAGTTCACTGATCAAAACAAGCACGTGCCTAGCGCACTGCTTACCATAAATTTATACACGAAACCTGCTGTCATGGTGAACATTCCCTCAAGGTTTTCACATAATCTTGGCCCTGTGCACGGTATATACAATCAGTGTAGTTATTCGTTATATTCTGATAACTGAACGACAGCCCTGTGTGATATTAATATGAACTACTGCATGATGTCACTCTCTTTTAACAAACATTACTGAGACAAACTGCAGTCATTTGCATCGGCCAGGGGGTGCATTTAGCCGGAACTTGGCTCCTTTCCGAGTAACATGAGCACGTACCCCTCAAGACTTTTCTCACTGCAATAAAACACGGGCTTGCACCCTACCGACGCCCATAACTGCAATCCAATCACGAATATCTCAAATTTGGTAATTTGATGCTGCTTTGCATATCTAGCAGATGCCAAGAACGGTCAACTGACTGCCGAAGCAGCAATTTCAAAGGATACTCTGCTGCAATTATCTAATGTGTTTGCGAATGCCAGAGTGGCAGAAATTGGAGATTCTCACACATATCTTCGTGTTCATTGCCACTATCATTGCACTGCAGAAAAAAATGTCCTAAGGAAAAGGGCAGGCGTTCCCTTCTCTTTAGGATTGTAGTGAAAGCTTTCTTGGGTGGACGAAGCACACTGAGGCACAAAGCAGTACTTCATCATTGCACAGCACTCGATCGCCACGGGGATGTTCTGTGGTCGGTTCACAAGTCCACGGGTTTTCAGGACTAGAGCCGTGACAGTGATGCGATCTCCATTCACGGAAACGGCTGCACACATTCAACAATGTGGCCTACGAACATCGAACACCATTGCGGCATCGATGAGACACTGCAACACTTCTCTTGCTGTATCTACGTGCTTGTAAATGCTGGAGAAAGGCACACTCATTGAAACTTCGAAACACTCGAGCTAATAAGTATCGCACGGTGGAAACTAAAGATAACGAGCGAGAACACTCACACACAGTTTCACTTTCTGACCACCAATGCAGTCGACAGCATCGGCGTGCTTATCAGCCATCTGGGAGATTTCTTGGCTCTAACGATTGGGCTGCAACTAAAACAAATTCATAATTGCACTCAAAAACATCCGTTGTGGGCATTCGTTGGCCCTTGCAAGGCTGTTCATTTGACAAAGTTCTCGCCCGAAGCAGACGATCTGCGCACAGGTGCAGAGGAGTCCACAAACTGACGTCGCACGCGAGAGGGCACCACTCCAAGACCTCGAGGCCAATACTTCTCGGCGGCTGATGGGCACTGCACGGCCATGGCACACACTTTGACAGTATTGTGTTCGACAACACTGCAGTTCTGTTTCCTATTAGAAAGCAATTCTAGATGCGGATCATGCGGAAGTGTGTCACAGTTCTGTGTGCTAATGTGGTCAAGAGCAGCACACGCTAGGTGGTGACAGTTGCACCCAGTTTTTGGAGCTCTCTCAAACCGAAACAGAAACTGGTCGATAATGAGGAGCCTGTAATTAATTATCCGTTGAGTGCTGCAGAAATCAATGCGTCGTGTCATGACTAACAGTAGCACCACTGTGGCCACAATTGAATCCACTACCTCAAGTTTATCAGCACCATACCATAGCCATGGGGCTACTTTAGCATGCACATTTAAACTAAGCCAGAGGTCATTATTAAAGTAACATGAACTAATTTATACCCTACTTCAGTATTACATAATGCCAAAGGTTAAATATGCCCTAAAAGAATTGATCAAGGCCATGGCCTTTTGTCACTGCGACATTTCCACATGTGCTGCAGAGGGTTTAGTGAGAATTCTTACTTGAACAAATCACCTGGAGACCTCACAGTTTGATATTTACTAGAAAACCACACTATCAAAACAACAAAAGGAAATCATGACTACAAAACTGCGCGAAAAATCGACAAGAAACGGAGAAGGCACACACACAAGCGCAGTGTGTGTGCCTTCTCCGTTTCTTGTCGATTTTTCGCGCAGTTTTGTAGTCATGATTTACCAACTCGCCCAGCGTTCAGTACTCTTAAAAAGGAAATCACTACAAATCAATAGAGGATACAGTCATGCAAAGTTAGTTACTGGCCCAACATGTGGGAGTACAAGTGGCAAGTTTAGTTTAATGGAGTCATCTCTTCTTGCTTGCAATCTTTCAAGTGTCCATGATATTGGCCTGAAATGCGTAGATAGTAAACTCTACCTGTGAACTGGGTCACTGTAAAAGGCAACTGCCAGGAGGCTCAACACCCCAAATATACATAGAAAGTTTCACAATGAATTGATTCACAAGTTCATAGTTCAGAGCCAAGAAAAATAGTTATCTATTCGTGGTCAAATCATCAAATAACGGCTCCACCATTGATGTCAATTGCACTTCCGTTAACATAGGAACTTCGTGGTCCACATAAGAAGACGACCACATCAGCCACTTCATCAGGACGTGCAGCACGGCCCAGTGCAGACTTAGCTGCATCACGTGCTTTTTCCTGGGGGCTGTTAGATGCTGTCATGGGCGTGTCGGTGTAGCTGGGTAAAACACAGTTGCAACGCATGCCATTCACTGCCAGCTCCAGTGCCAATGACTTGGTAAAAGCTACTGTGGCTGCCTTTGAAGCTGCATATGCACTGTAACGGGGTGACCCACTGTGTGCCCAGTTGCTTGCCACAGTCACCAAAACACCATTGGGCACCTGCGCTGCCTGCATGGCTTGTACAGCACCACGACAAAAGAGGAACGTGCCCTGCATGTATGCAACACTTCCAGGTGAAGAAAACAAATGCTATGGCACAGACATCAAATTTTAAATGAAAAAATATTATAGAAAATGCAGATAAGCGAAGCTGAAATGATTGCCAAGAGGTCTGAAATTACTTTTTCTGGAAATAGAGCTTTTATAAGTGAAAATGGACATTAATTAAAGTAAAGCACAATGATTTGATGACATAAGATTACTTGTAACTAAAAAGTGTTTACAACCGACTTAAATTTTAGTGGCATATTTCCAAATGCAACATGAACTTGTTGATGCAACAACTACACAGTGCTGTTAGTGCTATATAAGGAAATTCGGTATCTCCTTCACATGCCTAGAGAGAGATCAGCTTATAGGCAACTACTTAGGGTATTTGTAGGCATGTACCAGGCGCCCACCGTGCATGGGCCATGATGAGTAAAAGAAATGGTTGAAGTGCTGAGTGCGTTTTTTCTATTCACCTTCTCTTATGACCTGACCTATATTTCGCAAACAACAGTGTTTCAACAGTAGAGTCGAAGCACATTCGAAATTGCCACTATCCGTACCAAGGTGGCCATACTTACTGGGTCAACATCAGCATCTGCCCCGATTCTCATAAACAATCTCTTGAGTTTTAGTTCTAGTGTGACGCACTAACTGGAGGAATAGTTACTTTGTAAAATACTAAATTTCTTGGCAAGCCAAACTAACAATATAGGTGTTCTCACCATATACTTTCTTATAAATACACTGAAGGAAACTGTGGCACTAGTGTGTATGGGAGTTGCAATGCATGGCGCTTCAGCCAGCATGTCAACCTCCCACATGCATACGTCAAATAACTCACGGCCCTCAGTCCCCGGCAGCTGCGAATCAACTGACCACGGCGGGGGTCAGATCTGCAACACAGCAGAGGGTGCTAGAACTTCTGGATCCAGACAGGCCGCCATTGGAACCTGAACTTGGCAACGTTTAATGCTAAAACCTTATCTAGTGAGGGAAGCCTAGCTGTACTATTTGAGGAGCTAGAGGGTGTTAAATGGGATATAATAGGGCTCAGTGAGGTTAGGAGGACAGATGAGGCCTATACGGTGCTATAGAATGGGCACGTCCTTTGCTATCGGGGCTTGGCTGACAGAAGAAAACAGGGAGTGGGGTTCCTAATTCACAGAAACATAGCTGGCAACATAGAGGAATACTATAGCACTAGTGAAAGGGTGGTAGGTATCGTAATTAAACTCAATAAGAGATACAAGATGAAGGTGATACAGGCTTACGCGCCTACATCCAGCCATGATGACGCTTCAGTTGAAAACTTTTATGAAGACGTGGAATCGGCAATGAGTAAGGTAAAAACACAGTATACTATACTGATAGGAGACTTTAATACAAAGGTAGGAAAGAAGCAGGCTGAAGACCAGGCAGTAGGAGATTATGGCATCGGTACTATAAACGCCAAAGGAGAGCTACTAGTAGAATTCGCAGAACGCAATAATTTACGGATTTTGAATACCTTCAACCGAAAACGAGGAAACCGCAAGTGGACATGGAGGAGCCCTAATGGTGAAAATAAGAACGAAATGGACTTTATAATGAGTGCACACCCAGGCATTGTGCAGGATGTGGATGTGGTTGGCAAGGTACGATGCAGTGACCATAGAATAGTACGGTCTCGAATTCGCCTAGACTTGAAGGAACAACAGAAATCATGGGTAGTGCGCGCATTTGTCAAAGGTTTGTTCTTTCAGCTACAATTGGCCCGGTGTGGTCTGGAGCCACTTCGTCTCAAGACAATGTTTATTTATTTATTTATTTATTTATTTATTTATTTATTTATTTATTTATTTATTTATTTACTCACTGTACATTACAAAGCTCTTGAGGGGCATTGTGTAAGGGTGGGGGGGGGGGGGGGGGTGCAGTATAGAATATATGTCAGAGATGTATATACATAGGCAAATATTGATTACTTCATAAAGTACAATCCAACTCATGAACATACAAGTTTAAGACATAATAGAAAATTAAGTTACAACATGAGAAGGTGTGAAGGTGCAATGTGTGAAGATGTAATGGTGTGAAGGTGTAAATTCAGCGAATGTGCAGCAGTTTCAGTTCACCACCTTAACCTTTTAGGCTCACCAATTCAAATCGGCCTATAAAGTTCACAATGGTGCGTTTTTTTCCAAAACAATACCAAAACACATCAATAAACAAAGCCATAAGTGCACCCAAAGCCTGCAAGCACAAAGACTAGAATAGTCTACCCATTATTCCCCTGTTAGCTGAATGGTTCCAGCACCACAGTTCTCTCAAGTGAATATTGAAGGAATCTCTATGGTTCTTACAAGTGAAGCAGGGTGGGGGGGGGGGGGGGGGGGGCAGCTACTTTATTTTAACACTTACTGAGAAAGTAGTAGAAAGCCTGCCCCATACTTTTACTCAGTTGGACCTGTGCCCTCATCAATTAAAGAGAAAGGTTATGGCCATGCAGGTTTCTTGATGATAACGGTGGACAAAGGCCCCTGATGTTGCATTTCCAGAAGTGTTTACAACCATTCCTTGCTGCACACACCTGTGGTATTACCTACATGCTTAAGCAATTCAGTCCAAAACCTGCCTTATTCCTTTAGCGAGGCATATTACGGTTTTACTCGAATTAAAAAATGACCAGCTTAACAATGACTTTCAGTTGGTACAGTCTCTTTACACATTGGCACAACTCTTCATGATATATGTGCCTCAATAACATTGAGAGAGGTCTTTTTCTTTACATTAGAATTTTGCTTGAAAAAATTTTCTCAGATTTTATGAGCCAAGACCAGAATATGGCGATGAGTCATTCAATAATGGGGGGGTGGGGGGTGGCTAATTTTTCTGACCTGTCATTTCTTAAGAAGACTGACAACTAATTTTTCTCAACCTATTTTTTCACGGTGCGACAGAAGGCTCACTCTTCGTAGTGTTTGTAGCTGAAGTAGGTAATCCCAAAAGCACGTAGTTATTCTACAAGCAGTGTTTTTTTTATCTGAAAGGCTCTAAACACAGATGTACCTTTCCTCAAACAACATTGAGAGATGATAGTGGGGTCACCAGCCCTTTTCGCTCTTTCTGGAAACCGTCGTCATTCTGCTTTCACAAGAGTTCTTGTAACTGTGCTTAAGCTCCTTTATTTCGAGCTTCTCAACTATTCCTGAAGATAACAAGCAGTTACAATGAGATGAAGTAGCTTATACACTTTCTCTGTATTTGGGCCACGTTGTGTGTAGACCTGTGCACCGGTACCAAAATTGCCGCCGCCGGCGCGCCGGTGTTTCCACCTTCGGCAGCGGCGTGTCAACGGCACGGGGTCTATCGGATCAGCAATCACGATCCAAAAGTTGGTGGGGATACCAACTTGTTCCTTAAATTTTGAAAAAAAAAAAAAAAAAATCTGTTTCCCCGAAAAGGCGAAGCAGTTGGAAGTGACAGCAGCATGCGTTAATGTTATTTATTTAAAAATACTTCTTTTCAGTTGACATAGCAGATGTAAATACAGATGTTGAGTATCTTCAGAGATACAATTTAACAAAATACATGTTCACGCAAGTCTTTTTTTTTTTTTTCCATTGCTCAGAACCGAGTCTGTGCAGGTACCCATCAAGCTGATACCAACAGTGCACATTCCGCAGAAAATCAAACAAAAAGAAAATGAAATGAAAACAATTCTTAATTGATCTAATGGACATAATAATTGTAGAATCAAATCACCGGGTAAGGCATGCAGAAGGTGCAACGAACGACATGGATGCTAGAACACTGGAACCTGTGTAAACCACCATATTTACGCAGGAGGATGACAGGATTGCAAGTGCACCGATGTTCGAGAGAGACTGCAGCGATAAAACGTGCGCATTCGAAGTGTATACAAGAAGCACTGGTCATAGCAACAAAATATAAACAAAATATAACAACAAACAAAATATAAAAAAATATATATTTGTTTTCTTTAAGTCTGTCACATAGCTATGTTATGCTGAAGCAGAATCGCGAGTTGGGCAAGTTGGTGGATGTTCATTGTAGAATATTTTACAGCGCAACAGGTTAAAGATGGACAGAGAAGGGACACAGCGCTGTCCGTCTCTAACCTGTTGCGCTGTAAAATATTCTACGATAGCTATATCATGTCTGCAGTCAGGTCACCAAACAATCAACCTTATTCGACTTTGACCAAAATCTTATGTGCTGTCAGTTGACATCTATTTGTCTAGTTGCTTATTGTGTGTTGGAGATACCAATGTTTTTGAAGATTTTGTACGGTTCCAAAATACTATGCCATTTTAAATTTGTTGGAAGAGTTACAGCAAGACATTTAGGCTTTGTGACATGTACTAGACTTACACCGTCATTAGCATATGTATAAAGAGAAGGCCATTTCTTACTTGAAAAGGTCGGTATTTTTGCAGTTACTAGACAATTGCCATGTTTCACTCCTGTTACAAAAATGACAAAAGAAACAGTAATCAGTGTATCTTGATCTTGAGTATTAAAGATGATTTGACAGATAACGCAGTCATTTGCATACATTTCAAGTTTAGTTTGGGTGTTTTTGATAATCTCCACTACGTTGTTTATGTAAATAGTAAACAAAAGAGAATAAAGCACTGAGCCTTGTAACTTCTTCCTGATGTTTACGTTAGTCAGATGACTTTGCGTGGTTGAACGTAACGAATTTTGAGCTCGATTGCAAGTAATTTGCTATCCAATCAACCAGCTTGTTGTCACCAAAATTTTGAAGACTCTAGAAGTTTGGCATGCCAAACCATGTGAAAATCCTTAGAATAGTCAATAAATATGCCATAAATCTGTCTTTGGTCGTTAAGGAAAGCAACAATGTCGTGCATAAATTCAAGCAAATATGTAGCCATCGGGAAAATAGATTGTGTGCGTTTAGCTATTCTAAATAGCATTTGTTGATTATATGCTCCAAAAGCACGGAGCTGGTAGAGAAAGCAAATAAACTGGCC